AATCCTAGGACAACATACCACAACAAGTCACCACTTGGATAAAAAAGCAACGGCCAATTATCCTTGGACAACATAGCACAATAAGTCACCACTTGGATAAAGAAGCTACGGGCAAGAATCCTAGGACAACATACCACAACAAGTCACCACTTGGATAAAAAAGCTACAGGCAATTATCCTTGGACAACATAGCACAATAAGTCACCACTTGGATAAAGAAGCTACGGGCAAGAATCCTAGGACAACATACCACAACAAGTCACCACTTGGATAAAAAAGCTACAGGCAATTATCCTTGGACAACATAGCACAACAAGTCACCACTGGGATAGAGAAGCTACAGGCAACTATCCTAGGACAACATAGCACGACATCACCACCACTTGGATAAAAAGCTACAGGCAATTATCCTTGGACAACATAGCACAATAAGTCACCACTTGGATAAAGAAGCTACGGGCAAGAATCCTAGGACAACATACCACAACAAGTCACCACTTGGATAAAAAAGCTACAGGCAACTATCCTATGACAACGTAGTGCAATAAGTCATGACTTGGATAAAGAAGCTACAGCAACTATCCTAGGACAACATAGCACAACAAGTAACCACTTGGATAAAAAAGCTAGAGGCAATTATCTTTGGACAACATAGCACGACATCACCACCACTTGGATAAAGAAGCTACAGCAACTATCCTAGGACAACATAGAACAACAACATTACCACTTGGATAAGGAAGCTGCTGGGTGCTATCCTAGGACAACATAGTACAACATCACCACCACTTGAATAAGGAAGCTACAGTACTATCCTAGGACAACATAACGCAATAAGTCACGACTTGGATAAAGAAGCTACAGCAACTATCCTAGGACAACATAGAACAACAACATTAACACTTGGATAAGGAAGCTGCAGGGTGCTATCCTAGCACAACATAGTACAACATCACCACCACTTGAATAAGGAAGCTACAGTACTATCCTAGGACAACATAGTGCAGCAACATAACCACTAAGTTAAGGAACCCATAGGCAACAATCCTACAACAACAGAGCACATCATCACCATTCGGATAAGGAGTCCACAGGCTAACCATTCTAGGACAATACAGCACAACAATATTCCACCAAAAGATACTTAAAACATTAGGAAAAGTTTGCTTTTGTGATCGGCTAATAATGCTGTTTTAGTCACTAAACTTTCTATTGTGTACAAGTGGTGCTACTATGCTGTTTTATGCACGTAAATTTTGTATGGAGTTCAACTGAACGTGAATAGCTATACAGTGTATGCAGCTCAGTTAATTACATTACCACACATATTGTATTGCACGATGTTTGTATACATATATATATGGACAGGTGAGAATTCGCAAGGAAAATAAACACTGATAACACAAATATTTAGTGAGATTAATTTCTAGTATAGATGCTTACGACAATAAGGCTAACATGGCTGTCTCAACTTGTTACCGATAAACTTTTAGTAGGGACTCATATGATCAAATTTACAAAATCAAACTCAGAATTTTCATCTTTAACTATCACAGTTGAAACACTGACCCCCCTTTTGATTACGCACATATAGGCCTAAGGCTGAGGTTAGATAGACACAATCAATTGAGTCTAGGAAATACAGAAGGCATAGCTACCATGAGCAAAGTGGGAAATCCACGAACTAAACAGAACATAATATTGATAACTGCATACAAAATTTTATGAAAATTTAGCTCAATATGAAACAGAATAACAAAAGAAGGCTAGTTTTGCCTCTCTGCAGATCAATACAAACTACATGTATGAAGGACAATACATATCATCCTTGTGTGTGTGTGTGCACATGTGCAGCGCTCTGGCACCGTGTACGTATTACAGTATATCAGTTTGTGTGAGAGTTCTGATGCAAGTCTAGTCTTACTTTACTGTACTTAGCAGGCAGGCTAAATTGGTTAGGGTGAAAACATTAAACGTGATTGGCCGAGATCACTGTTCGCTTTTAAAGTTTTACGGGTCATTGACTGTTTCCTTAACCCTATTGCCCCTGGCATCATTTTTAAATTTCTTTTTTGGCATATGTATT